TTTGAAAATGCAGTGAATTGGCTAAAAACAGACCCAGTAGACATCCAGCCGGATTCTTTCCCCATTCACTCTGAAAAGGCTTCCAACGGTCTCCTTCGACTACTGCTGTGATTATATCTCGCACAGGTAGTCACACTTCAATTCTATGTATAATTTAAACAAAAGCTGCCGCGGGTCGAAGCCCCTCCCCAAGATGCGGGAGAAAAACTTCAAGACCAACGATGACTCGGGGCGAGCCAGAGAGAAATGATCACACACGCAGACGACGACGCGAAGTGGTTCCCAGATTCTCTCCCCTTCGTTCCGAGAAGGAGGAGGAAAACAGCAGTCTCGACGCTCCGGGTCTAGCAAAATTGCGTCCTCGCTCCGCCTTGCTTGTACCGTTAAACCTTGCCTCGACAAGGTCAAAAGAGCCTCAACAAGGCCAAAAGAGCACTCTCAGGGGTTGATTTCCCAAAACACACCCATCCCTTCACGAAACCTTTTCACAGTCGCTTGTGTCAAAAATTCAAAGTGGACGATTTCTGAATAAATACACTGGCACACCGAAAAACGAAGCGCAAAACCAAAGCCACAGATCAGCCCACCTCGACCTCGGTAGCAAGCCACGCCTCAATCTCTTGGAACCGATGTAACATTCCAAAACAATCAAGAACAAAACCAAAAGCCACAGGTCACCAGCCCACCTCGATCTCGGTGGCCAGCCACGCCTCCATCTCGGCCTTCTTGGCTTCCTTCACCGATGGGTGCCGAGCGTCTCCCCTCCCGCCCGCACCGGACCCAGCCCCGTCCCCAATGCCTCCCCTGCCTCCTGTGCGGTGCGACTGCAGAGCGCGTACCTGAACGCACCGACCGATCAAAATCAAACCAATCAGTCAGTTGCCAGGAGAGTTGGCGAAACCACAGCCTAGCGCAAGAGGGATGAGACTACTACCAGAGAGCCAGCATCGCGCCGAGAAGTACGTACACTTGCCTATGTTCGGTTTTGAACAGTGATTGCACGGGGGCGCGCCTCAAGTCTAGGCTGTGCGATTGTAGAGATGTGAGGGAAGCCGATGTTCTAGCATTTCCCATCCAACTCCAAAAAAATCAAGAGAACGTTAAGGATCGAGAAAACCGCTGGGCAGGGGGAAAGAAAGGGCACAAGGAGAGAAGAGACAGAAGAGCTGGAACATCAAGCAAGGCACAGGAGAGAGCGTGTTTCTGCGGGCGTTGAGGCCTCCCACTCTCAACCCCCTCTCGAACTAGCCGACATCCGCATAGTGCGAACGACACATCGTCAAGGCCGTGCCCCGGGCTACTCACGGACTAATCAAATTGCAGCCCAATCGCCGGAGCCACCGAACGAAGAAACAAAACAACACCACACGCCTCCAGAAAGCGAGTGGCGCCCTGAATCCCTCCAACGACCATAAAACCAGCAGCACGACGCTCACCGCGGTAAAATTTGTGTCTTCTCTTCTTCTCGTACCTTTTTCATGGCCATGGAGTGCTCCTCCATCTTGCGCTTGAGCGCCGCCTGCGTTCTCTCCTGCGACTCTTGAAGCTTCTTGACCTGATGAGCGAGTGGCAAGGCGTGTTGACAGGTTTGGGGATAAGACGTCGCTACACCTCTACGGGAGACGGTAGGAGAGCTACATCGTATGAGACGGGGCGGCGGTGGTGGCAGAGATAGGAAAGCATTCCGAGTACAGGGGTGGACCGAAGGGACGGGGCGCGGGATGGGGGCACCGCAGACAGCACCGGACGTTGGGGGTCACAGGGACGGGGCGGAGGGGACACAGAATATACAATGAACAAACGCCCAACAAGTCGTTTCCTTCCGTCGAGCGAACTAACCCGTGTCTCACACACCGCAGCAAAGCAAGCAATGCGACACCTAACCGCGCCTCCGGCACACCACTACTTTCTACTTCGTGGGGGGCAAACACACATTAGCCGTTCGTAGAAATCCTTCACAAATGACACGAGTCCCGCGAAAGAATCACCTGCCACTGCATACGCTCCCCATCCCGCCGCATGCGCGCGTCCTTGAGATGGAGCTGCCGCGTCTCTTTCATGAAGCGGGTTGACGCCTCCCGGTGCTATTCTCGTCGAAAGTCGGTGACCGAAAGTCGGTAAGAGGGGGGAAGGGGGGGTGTACTCGTAGTCGTGCATGCCGTGTCATTAGACCATTGACCTCGCATCCCTACAAAGCCGGCACGGAGCACGCCGGGTTCTCACCGAACCAGGGGGAGAGGGGGGGAATGTAATTGACCGGGTGTAAACGGGGTTATTGCAATAATTTATCCACAAGGGTGGGATGTTTCGCAAATAATGTTCAAAGACCACCACCAGCAACGACACCGGATGGAAAAGAGGTCTCGCGCATCGTCGAAGGAATTCCCCGGCGATTTCATAGCGTGAGGAGAAATCCTACCGAGGGTGGTTCCGCAGCACGCCGAGCCGCGATGCTGCTGTTTCTACATACAAAAATGCTGCCTGCGTGCGGTCACCCCGTGCTCAAAGCACCAGCAGCACCAGCAGCAGCGGGACAGGCTGACTTACGGTGCGCTGCAGCTCCGCCCGTCGCTGCTTGGCTTCGGCCACCTCGGCCCTCAGCCTCTCCGCCTCCTTCGCCGCCGCCGCACGCTCCCTCTCCGCACGCTGGTGCTCCGCAACCTTCTTCCTGCGGGTACGCCGAACACCATCAAAGAGGTTATATGCATTCACATACATACATACATGCATGCATGTATGCATACATACATACATACATACATACATACATACATACATACATACATACATACATGTATACATACATACATACAAACATACATACATTCATACATTCATACATACATAGTACAAAGGTTGTCGTTGTTGTTGTCGTTACATTAAAATCGTCCTGGTCTCTACACTCAGTACCTTTCAACATCCGTACTGGTCCACCTGACTCGGACGCCTTCCGCAGCCGCAGGCCAACAAAGGGTATTAGCATACACACATACATACGTACAACTTATATTCATGATTCATTTCGTTGTTTTCATGCTTGCGAAGTGGATCTTGAAGCGCCTGGAACATCGACGAGGTCGGGGGGGTGTACTCATAGTCGTGCATGCCGTCGTTAGACCATTGACCTCGCATCCCTACAGATCCGGGACAGAGCACGCCGGGTTCTCACCGGACAAGGCTTTCACATCACCAAGCGCGAAGCGCCGTGAGGTATTCGGCGAGTCGCATGAAGGCTGCGCTGCATCCTGCTATGGGTGTTCGGCATCTTGCGCTTACTTCCTTGCATACGGATGACAGCTGCGTATGACTTAATTGTTTTTTCTGGTGCTTTCACTTCCAGAGACAGTTGTAAGCACTGTGTAACTGCTTCGAGGATGCTTTGTCATTTACAAAAAACGTGGTGCGATCATCCCCCTAGCGCGGAGCGAGGGTTCTCGGCCCCGCACAACATGATCCACTCGACCACCATTATGGTTACCCTCCCCCCCCAAAAAAAACACAGGCAAAAAAAAAGGCGGTAACCTGGTTGCCGAGCTCATGGTCGGGGGCGTTTCAAAACATTTTTCGTGTGCCCGGATGTCGCTTTGAGACTTTCGGGGGGTGGTCTCTCGACCACTATGTTCAAGGCTGCAGACAGAAAGATGAAGCACTCATCCCCAGGAAGGAAATTTGCTGCCGAAGCAAGCAAGAATCCACAGTTGTGAGCCGGTGCGACCCTCAGCTCAGACCATTCCCCCGCGAAGCCCCCTTCTCCCACATGAATCAGTTTGTCAAGACGCGTTACACATACGCCTACGCACGGGCAGTGATGATGCTAACGTCAACTGTGTCGCAAAGAGGCTCCAATACACAGCACACAAGCAGCCTAGAATTAGACCCACAAGAGTCGCAGCCTTTCTTGAGAATGGTGATTGATGCCTTCGGCTAGCTGGCCCAATGACAACCGGCCGCTCGACTGTCGTAGACCGAACTTGCTCTCCCTGCTTTCTTCGAAGCCGTGGCTGGGGCAAGCCTAACCACCCCACCGTACGCGCAACTCGAGCAAACACTTCATGTTATCCTTCCGTTTTCTCTGAGACGACGCTACTCCAAACCAGGCACCTGTTCTCCTTGATGCGTGCCTCCAGTTCAGCCACCCTAGCCTTCANCCCCCGCCCCCGCCTGACCCCCCCCCCCCACCGCCGACACCGGGGCGGGACGCCGAAGAAGATGACGAAGCCCCACGGGAGAGCTTGTGAAGAAGGCCATCTCGCTCAGACTGGAGGGAGGCGACCTCTCCCTGGTTGGTTGTGTTGAGCGATGTTACCGAACACGTGGGGTACAGATTTCAACTCGCGGGGTTCTGTTGGTTTGGGTTGCGGCGGTGGTGGTTGGTACGGTCGTTGGTGTCGCGGCTGTGAGTCGGTGACGTCAGTTCGACCTGGTTCCAGTGGCAGCAGGCCGGTCGTGCTTGCCCTTGAAGAAAATTGAACGAGGCTTACAGTCAGGTCGTCTAAGAAAATCGTACAACGCATATTAGCCGGGTCGTCTAGGCCGGGAGGTTTCACCTTCACGGACAAAGCTCTTTTTTTTTTCATTTTCCTCTACAGAAACCGAACAAGAAAAAAAGTGACAGGTGGAGAAAAAAAAAACTAGAACAAATATGAAACATGAACTCACTTGTGCGTCGATACATGCTGACATGTCGTACGCGAAACAAAGGACACGCATCAGAGCTAAACACGAGAAGCAGCCGGACACTCACCCTTTTCCATCGTCGAAGGAATAGACAAGGAACGGAACGGACCATGTACACCAGGCTACCGTATATGACACGAGACAACACACCCCCTGGACCGATTTTCAATGCTCCATAACGCCACGGCGAAGATGATGCATGGACGAAACGATACGTTTTCGGAGAGCTGTCGACCAGACGGCTTCAACGCCGCCGCTTTCGGCGCTGCGACTCTTTCTGCTGTTGATAAATCGAGCTTTGAAAAATCCGTCCAGGTGGTATGTTATCTCGTGTCGTATACGGTGAGCGCACGCACCTGTAGGCGGCCCAGCAACCCCTCGAACTGTCCCTTCATCGCCTCGTAAGCCTGCGCCTGGCGCGCCTTCATCTGGAGCTCCCGTTCCTGCCCCGAGAACGAGCAAAGCAAACACACGCCACTTTCACACACACAAACACCTCCATCACACGCACCACGACAGCAACGTCGAAACGGGACAAAAGTCGCTGATGAAAATGAACGGCGATCGTCTACAGATAACCTCCTAGTGGCCTGGGCCGTTGCTGCTGCTGCAAGTGTATGAATGCAAGGGACAGGGAGCGAGAGAGGCTTCGTTCGGTGACGTACGATGGACGTTGTACCCTGGCTTACCTTGGACGGGCATGGGAGCCCTAGAAAAGCCACCGGCCTTGTCACCACTTACCAACAAGGCCGCCGCCTCTTGCCCTACACAACCTCGCCCACCAGAAACACGAGCAACACGAGAAACCCCCCGTGAAAACGTGCAAGGTTGGAAAAACGTCTAACAACGATAGTCTCAACGGAAATAGACACACCTGTAGTACTGTACTGTACTGTAGCCACAAGATATGCCTCTTTCTTTATCCTATTTGCATCAATAATGTCTCGTGAGAACGTCAAGTGTGGGGGAAAGTCCAACAACAATGGTCTCCACTGATCCCCTAGAGGAAATGTGTTTCTCTTCCTATACTCCGTCTCACCTTGCTCTCGATCTCCTCATCCACCCTCCGGATCTCTTCCACGCCGCCGTCCTCCCCGGGCTCGCCATCCTCCGGCCCCCCGCCCTCCCTCCCCTCGAACGACACGCCTCCACCGCCCCCCCCCGCCTCCTCGTAGTCGAAAGAGTCGAATGAGCACTCTTCTGTCGGAGGTCCCGTAGATAGCCCTTAGTATGCGTTCGTTTCAAACACACCACACACAAAAAATATGATTAGAGGCAATGGGTACGACAAATCGAGGGAAACTTACTTTGCCTTGAGCCTCTCTCTCCATCCGTGTGGACGTGCTTTTGTCGACATTCTGCGAAAAAAGAACAGCGAAAGTAAGTGATCGTACGAACATGCCGCGTCACACGATACCTTCGAGCGGGGGGGGGGG